ATTTATTGATAGCGTTAGGATCAATGTACCCCAGGAGCTGCCTGACACCCTTCTCTGAATCAGAGTCTTCTGATTCGAATCTTCTATGAAGGTTCAGACAGCTCCTGAGCTTCGGTTCACTTGCTTGTCAGCCGACTCAGCAAGTGAACCGAAGATTTGAATCATGAATCGGTTCTTTTGAATTAACTGATTCAAATGAACCGGTTCATTTGAAAGATCCGAACTTCCCATCTCTAACTGACACCATGCAGGATAACTCTCTTCCCTGCCCAGCGCAAACACATCATTGTCACAATGTGCCTTCCATCAAAGCTATGATTTGTAGTTTTATGACAGGGAATATTTCCCTTCAGGCGGTATGGTAGTCTAACCTTAAGACCCTGAAAAACCTTGCAAGAGGAAGAACTTGACCAATATTGGAAGACTCACAGCACGACAAAGCCTTCTGTTCTGATTGCGGGAAACATTTTACAGTGAAATTACAACTGATCCAACATGTCAGAGTCCACACTGGTGAAAATCCCTTCCCCTGCACAATGTGCGAGAAATGTTTCAACACCAAGACCAATGGTGTGACATATCAATCCATGCACACAAAAGAGAAAAAGATCCTGTGTTCTAAGTGTGGGAAATGTTTCTCAAGAAAACCATCCCTCCTGATACATCTCTGGAATCATTAACATGTTGTGTAGGGATCTGCAAAATAATTCACACAGGAGAGAAGGCACAGATGTGCTTGAAGCACGGAAAGTGCGTCCTGTAGCTGTCATCCTTTGTAAAATAGCAGCTCCTTCACTGAGGCGAGAAGCCCATTTCCTGGCATAAGTATGGAAGTTGCTTCCTGGAGAAGCGATAAATTGCTATACATAAGGGCATACAGATGTGGGAATGGCCGTATGCCTGCTATGGATTCTACAAAAGTCTCATCAAAAAATGCGATCTTCAGGGTCCATTAACACTAGTTCAGTGCCTTCATTGCACTGGCCCATGCAATCATTACCCCCCATTCTGGTGAAGAGGGGCGTGTCCGTGCCATTCATTTCCATGAATTTCATTAAATGCACTCACTGATTCGGGAATAAAGCTCAACGAACCCAGCACGCAGCCTCAGTCTCTCCCTCTTCTCCATAATCCCTGCATCCACCCCACTGTTTGTCCTACATGCTGCTCTCTCGTTAGCTTTCTGTTCCTCCAATTTCAGCATCAGAAATAGCTCTGGGCCCTGACTGTATTCAGGTCTGTGATGAAGGTGTTAGGGTAAAATAAAAACCACCCACATAGATCGAGAGTAGTTGTTAAGACCCTTGGCTGGGGGGGTTCTTCACTAAGGGGCACACCGCAATTGGATACAGCAAGGGTAGAGTCCAGTGTCACAAGGCAGCAATCCAAGCGCAACAAAGGGTAAATTGCAATATGGTAGAGCAAGGATAGGTTTACAACTCACACTGAGGGTGTCCAGACACTCTGCAGCAGGAGAGGGGTCCCCACGGGATGGTAATCCAGGAGGTGGTGCGGGAGCTGGTCTGTGGAGCCTCTTCAGCAGATCAGCATGGAGAGTCTGTGGGACCTGGCCAAAGCTGAGTCCCACCAGGTAGGCAGACTTACAGGGCAAAGGAACTAGAGAAAGCCCTGGCTCAGGTATTTAACCCCTAAGCTGGGACGCAATCCTGACACTGGGCAACCAGATCCTGACACTGGGCAACCGAATGCTTAACACTGAGTCAGTCTGTCAACAGGCTCCCCTCCTTTCTGGCTCGGCTTCAGTGTAGAGTGTGACCCTTTGTTCCCAGCAGATGAGAGTAGCATAGGAAGCAGGGCCACCCCGTGCACACTGGTCTGCATGTGTTGAATACACATTCAGTCACAGCAGGGGCATTAGAGTGGGGCTGAGCAAATAAAGGTAGTGGAGTGGTGGGACCTAAGTGCGGGCGCTGGGGCACAGGATGGTGGTGTGCTTGCAGCAAGCCACCAGGACCACACCACCTATGTGCCACCGTAGGGACAGGGTGACCTGTGAAAAGTATGGGCCAGCTCCGGTCAAGTGACGGTATGCCTGTTGGACAGTGCGGGTATGTATCAGAGGTGTGTTATGTATTAGGCTCAACGGGCATGTGTGTGCAAGCCAGCTTTGCCATATCAGCTAGTTGCCACACTGAGCTCCAGGTGACAGGGTCAAAGATTTTTACAGGCAACTTGGCTATAACGTGCTTGTGGACACTAGCATGAAAGCGGAGACGATAAACATAATACAAAATGAAATGTAAAAAAATTAAATTATGATAATAAAAAAATGATTTATTGCTTTATGATTGCAAGTAAATATATATTTTTTTAATTTTATAAATGTTAGTAAA